CTTACCGAGAGCTTGCTGGAGCTTCGATTGTCGTTCTTGCGCCTACTTCAAAGTGCAGCTTCTTTTATTATGTCAATGAAACTGTTTATTAATTTGGTCGATTTGAGATCTTCGTCGCGGAGGAGTGAATATCTGTTTTGGATGTTTAGGTTAAATTCTGTTGCTCTGATCCTCAAGTTAGCCAAGTTTGGCTGTGGTTTACACATTAGTTTGTTCCTTTCCCTTCTGAGGTGTATTTTAATTTCGCCTCTCATAATTCTATGGTCGCTGCCTACATTTACATTATTTATACCTCTACATTTTTTATTATATCGCGCCTATTTGAAATTATGAAGTCAATTTCGTTTTTGACGTCAGAAGGTGCAATTTAAAGGTGAAATATTCATTAACCAAGCAATTCTTCACGGATGGAGTCGAGACGAGTACTTGTTTTTTTCGCCTAGTATGCTCGTGAGACCAATAGCTCGTGACGAGTCGCGGTATTCTCTGCCGTCTGTGTAAGGTCTTCCATCACCTGTATATTGGACAAAACATCACTGTTTAGGAGGACATCTTTAGATAAGTAAGACTTTAGTAGTACTGATGAGCAAATTGACTTTTTGTATTATTATTATAGAAGACAAATGTACTCAATTGCACAAACCTTATTTTACTGATAATATACATGTCTTCTGTTAAAGATGACAGCAATGCGAGAACGTTTTAATGGTTTTGCCCTATATTTTCATGACCTGAAAAACATATGCTCCACCCATATGTATATATGTTCTTTCAGTCGTTCTTGTATTTGAGTAAAAAGTCATTTTTTTCTTTCTCTCAGTTATGTAAAAGGACGCTTTTCTCTCCCTTATGACATTATGCGATTTTTCTTTTCCAAACGAATGTTTTCTACTTGCCATTAATGGCAAAAGTACTGAAAATATTGCTTCAGTTGCCACTTTTTCTGTTTAGGTGTGTGATTTTAACCTTTCCTCTATGATTTACCTCCTTGACTCTATGTTGCTCGCCATATACCCCTTTACTGCCATGTAATTATCAGGAATGTCTAATGCAGTCGCATAGAAAGAAAAAGTAAGTGCCTTTGTTTGCAAGTAATATGATGATTATGGAAAATATATAGTTACTGATGACTTGGTTTTAAAAAAGAAATGGAAATTCGCATGCCAACTGCTAAGACCTATTGCATCGAGGGTGTCATGTCCACTTTCTACGCCTTTGGAGTAAATTTATCCTTGATTGAAAATCCCGGTTTTAGGCGAATTTATCTATGTCCAATAGACGTAAAATTATAAAAGCTCTATGACAAAAGAGTTATTTTATCCTAAAACTTGTTTCATATATTATAAAAGTCCTTTGTTTTCATAAAGAATCTGCTGCTAAAACGGCAAATAGTAATTTAACAATTACTTGGCCTTCTTCTTTTATACATTTTTTTCCTCTCTCTTTTATTTTGATGGTGAAAATGTTATTTAAGGGCCTTGAACGGTTTTCGTCGCTACGACAATTAGTGAGTAACTTGATGAAAATGTATGCATTACTTAAAAAACGGTGCCTAAATGTGCGTAATACAGGTAAAATGATAAAAACTATGACAAGAAGGGCAAACGAGTTATATCATTTTATCCTAAAACGTCTTCATATCTTATCAAAGCCTTTGTTTAGATAAAGGGCCTGTGGCTAAAACGTAAAAATGTTTACAATTGCTTAAAGCCTTCTCTTTTGTACATTTTTTAAAAGATAAATAGTTTTAAGGAACCTTTAACAGTTTTCATTGCTATGGCAATTAGTGAATTAAGTAGTGAAACATTATATCTTAGCCGGGAATGTTTAGATGTTTAGATGTTTCTTCATCTGACATGAAAAAGTATTACGTTTATCAAAAAATATTGAAGAGGTCGAGTAGCAAGTTTTATTCAATGTCGCTGTAAAAATAGTTGTTTCTCTTTGTACAGGGAGATTTGATCAAAGGTAAGTATGCATTACTTTTTAATGGTGCCTAGATGAGCGTTCCCCGATAAAGTTAATTACAGTAGGCCGACGGAGTGGTGGCTATCTCCGGAAGATAGCAAGTTATTTAGTTCGATCTTTAACCGCATATTTGTGGGCAGGTGAGAAAGACGATTGCGGGAGATCGAGAAGTAAAGTTTGGTTGAATTTATGCCCTCAAGCAAGTTTATTTTTGACATCTTACAATGTTTTTTTCTGTTCTTATAACAGACAGAAAAAAAAAAAATGACAGTGAGCACGCTCCTGATATAAGGGAGATTACTGTAACCAACGAGGGAGTTGTATAGTTCCTTCTCTTTGCCATATACTTGTAATATAGGCGACTTTGCAGGGTATAAAGGTTGGGGTAAATCACTAAAAAGCTAGCCTGCATTTTGTGCTGATTCGTCTTTTTCGCCAATATTTACATCGGTTTTTACATCAGAAGGGAAGCGACTTTTTAATCTATTTGGTAATTCGCCTGTTAGTTGCATAAGCAGGAGTGAAAAGGGTG